AAAAGGTCTGTTAATTACAGATGCACTTTCTTTCTAGAAAATGGATTATGAAGATTAAACGACCGAGAAACGAAGTTTCTTCTCAAATCTTGTATTTACACTGCTGTTTTTTCAGCGGCAAGTAATTGTATTTAAAAAAAATTTAATCTGATATTTGCTTCTTTACTGGAATATTTATATTTATTGTAATTTCTGATATACTTGAAAGGATATCTATCTTATGTTCTTTCCTCCTCCTAGTATGTTTTCTCTTCTGTGCCTTCATTTTCATTTATTATTCTATTTACCCTCTTATGTGTGCACGCATGCACATGCTTATTTTAGTAAATTGTTTTTTAAGGAATTTGATGATCTAAAATGCAAAACTTATTTAAGTTTTTAATAATATCCTTTACTATTTTTAGAATTTTCATTAGGTCCATCGTAGTCTATCCTTTTCTCATCCTGATATTAAGCTATGCAACATGTTTTGTTCTTGACTATTTTTGACAAAGTAGTATCAAATTTATTACTCTGTTCTATCAACTTTTACCTTTCTTCATCCTCTTTATGCTTTAGAGGCCACTTTTTATCTTTATTGTTTCTTGGCTTCTATTTCTGTAGGTATAGTTTGCTGCTCTCTAACTTCCTGATGTGGATACTAATCTTCACTGAATGTCAGTCTTTCTCCTAAAACGTAAAGGCTTAAATTGTTCACCTAAGGCTCAAGACAAATTTCATACATTTTGATATATCCTCTTCATTCAGCTCAAAAGATTTTCTCACTTTCATAGTGATTCTTTGACAAGTGATTTAAAGTATACTGCTGAGGGGCGCCTGGGTGGCTCAGTCGTTAAGCGTCTGCCTTTGGCTCAGGTCATGATCCCAGGGTCCTGGGATCGAGCCCCGCATCGGGCTCCCTGCTCTGCGGGAAGCCTGCTTCTCCCTCTCCCACTCCCCCTGCTTGTGTTCCCTCTCTCGCTGTGTCTCTCTCTGTCAAATAAATAAATCTTTAAAAAAAAAATAAAGTATACTGCTGAATTTCAAGTTATAATTTGTTTTAGTTGTTTTTGTAATTGGTTTCTAAGTTAACTCCATAATGGCCAAAACACAAACCAAAAATTAAATTCTTCCTTGAGATTTATTTTACGTTCCAGAGTATAACATTTATTTTTATTTTATTATTTTTAAATTTATTTATTTTAGAGCGCTCACATGCTCAAGCAGGGGGAGGAGCAGAGGTAAAGGATCTCAAGCAGAATCCCCGCTGAGCACAGAGCCCAGGGCGTGGTGCTTGATTCCAGGACCCTGACATCTCATGATCTGAGCCAAAACCAGGAGTCCGGAGCTCAACCAAATGAGCCACCCAGGTGTGCAGAGTACATTCCACGTGTGCTTGAAAAGCACATGTATTCTGTTGTTGATGGTGGAATTCTCTAACTACTGGGCAGAGGTTCAAATCTTCAAAATCCTTACTGATTCCTTATGCTTACGTTTTTTAGAGGGATGTTTAAATCTCTCTCGCTGTCACTGTGGATTTGTCAAGTTCCCATTTTACTAACGACTATTTCTTTTAGTTATATACTAAGGCACATAAAAATCCAGGACCATTTAAACTTGATACATGTTTATCATGATGAAATACTATTTTTACATTAAATAATGCTTCTTGTCTTAAATTACACTTTGAAGATTGGAGACACACCAGCTCTCTTTTGGTTATTGCTCAGAAGACACAACTTCTTCTGTTCTTTCAGTTCTTCTTCACTTGATCCTAGCCAAACGACCGAGAAATGGGGTTTCTTCTCAAATCTTGTATTTACACTGCTGTTTTTTCAGCGGCAAGTAATTGTGTTTAAAAAAAATTTAATCTGATATTTGCTTCTTTACTGGAATATTTATATTTATTGTAATTTCTGATATACTTGAAAGGATATCTATCTTATGTTCTCTCCTCCTAGTATGTTTTCTCTTCTGTGCCTTCATTTTCATTTATTATTCTATTTCCCCTTTTATTAATTACAAGCTGTATTCTTAGATGATATATATGCTTACTAAAATCCACTATTAGTATATTTACCACTTTCTAGAATATGCAAAGATCTTAGGAATTTTTCACTCCATCCCTCCTTTTCTTATCTGTCATGTGTTTATATTCTGCATGTATTTTAAAGTACAAAAGACCCTTTTATTACTGGTCTCTACAGTCAATATACATATATCTAAATGCTTTACATTGTCTTTATTTCTTTCCACATATCTATGCTTCCATCTGTGATCCCCTTTTGTCTGAAAAACTCCCACTTGGTAAACCGAGTGCGTGGCTATTGCTGAAAATTTTCTTCACATTTGTGTGGAAATTGTTTACTTAATAAATGAAGCTTCAATTTTTGCTGCCAGTGGGTGTTTTAGAAGTTGTGATGGTTTAAAAGTAATGCGTGTTTTTCCCTCTGACTGGTTTTATAGCTTCGTTTTTCATTTTCAGTAGTTTTACTATAATGTGCTTATGCATAAGTTTCTTTGTATTCATCCTGCTTTGAGATTATAGAGTTCTCAAATTTGTGAGTTGATTTCTTTTGATAGTTTTGGAAAATTCTCAACCATTATCTCTTCTAATACTTCTTTCTTCTCCTTCTAGGATTCTAATTACACTTACCTAAGATCTTTTCTATTACCTGTGTCCTACACTCCATTACGTATTAAAATTTTCCTCATCTGTTTGTATTCTTCTGACTTATCATTCAGTTCCCTAACTTGCTCTTCAGTCAAGTTTTACCTTCTATAAAACTCACCTACTACTGAGCTTTCATTTTTTTTTTTTAAGATTTTATTTATTTGGGAGGGAGAGAGAGAATAGGCACAAGCAGGGGGAGCAGCAGAGGGAGAGGGAGAAGCAGGCTCCCTGCTGAGCAGGGAGCTCAACACAGGCCTTGATCCCAGATCCCTGGATCATGACCTGAGCCACCCAGGTTCCCCTGAGCTTTTTCATTTGTAGATGTTTCTAGCTGTAGAATTTGGAAATCATTATTTCATTTTATAGTTTTCAATCTTCTAAAATTCTCCACTAAATCCTTGAAATACTAATCAGCTGTTTTAAAATATGCATAAGTTAACTCTGGTATCTGCATCTCCTGTGAATTTATTCCTTTTGCCTGTTTCTCCTCTGGTTTCTGAACACTTTTTGATGTATTCCATCGATTCTGCTATATAGTGTATTTTCACTGCTTTTATTTTTCAAAATTCTGTTATTTCAGTATGTATTTATCTTTTGACAAAAAGTTGTTTGGTAGGCTTAAAATTTTTCATGTCAAAGAGCCAATTAATTTTGTTATTATAATTTAGAATTTCATTGCATGTAATCAGAAAGTGTTACTTTATCTAATTTATGAAAATTACTGAATTTTTTGGTAAATAAGTTGATGTGGCACAGGCACCTGATACAGTTTATCATGTCGTAGAATTCGACTTATCTCCCTAAGATTCACCTTACTGTTTATGTTGTCCAGGTCTTCTATACCATTGTTTCTTCTACTTCATCTGTTCTACACTAAGAACAGAGGATTAAATTCTCTAGTAGTGTATTTCTAGGTCTCATTGAATCCTCTGGAGTGTCTGTTTCATACAGAAGGTTTCTGTGTAATATGCTGCAAAGATACTCACGTGTTCTATCTCCACCATAAATTGTAGGTTTTAGCACTAAAAAAAAAAATCCTTCTAGGTCATAGTTCATGAGCTTTTGGCTTGAACTCTACTTTTGGTATTAAGATTACCATATCTGTCCCCTTTCATTTTCATTGGTCTAGTATGCCATTATCTACTGCTTTATTTTTAGCCTTCCTGAAACATTTGAATCACAGGACTGTCTCTCTAAATAGCAAAAAGGGGCACCTGGGTGGTTCTGTTGGTTAAGGGTCCAACTCTTGATTTTGTCATTATCATGTCATTATCTCAGGATCGAGAGGTCCAGCCCCACTTCAGGCTCTGTGCTCAGCGTGGAGTCTGCTGGAGATTCTCTCTCCCTCTGACCCCACCCCCGCTCGTGTGCATACTCTAATATAAATGAATAAAATCTTTAAAAAAATATTTTAAAAAAATAAGCAGTATATAGCTGGGTCTTCTTTTGTGAACCAAACTGAAAATCTTTTCCTTATAATGGGTAGATGAAGCCATTCACATTTATCGGTATGACCAATATTGCAGGTTACAGTTTTATAACTTTTTATAATTAAATGTACTTTACTGCACTTCTCTATGAAATGTATATTCTTTGCTTCAATAAAAAATTGTTTCTGTTACTTAGGAAAACCTGTATTTTTGTTCTACTGGTTACTTTTGAACTTAAACCTTTTAAAAAGGTTTGTCTCTGTATTTTCTTCCTCACACATTTTTTTCCTGAGATATAATTCACATACCATAAAATCCTCCTTTTAAGTATACAATTCATTGGTTTTTAATATATTCACAAAGTTGTGCAACCATTATCTAGTTCTAGAACATTTTTATCATTCCAGAAAGAAACCCTATGCCCACTGGCATCGACTTTTTGTCACTATGAATCTCCCCATTCTGGATATTTCATGTAAATACAATCATATAATATGTGGTTTTTTGTGTCAATTTCTTAGAACAATGTTTTCAAGATTCATCTATCTATATTACAGCATGTACCAATACTTGATTCCTTTTTGTTGCAGCATAATATGCCATCATGTGAACATAAAACATCTTGTTTATCTGTTTATCAGGTTAAAGGACATCTGGTTTGTTTCTACTTTTCACCTATGATGAATGTTAGGAACATTAGCACACAAGATTTTATGTGGACACATATTTTCAATTCTTTTGGGTATACATGTGGGAATGGAACTGATGGATCATATGGTAATTCCATTTTTAACTATTTCATGAACTATCAAATTGTTTTCCAGAGAAGCTGTACCTCTTCATTTTTCTACCAGCTACATATGAGGGCTTTGTCTATACCCTTGCCAATACTTGTTACGGTTCACCTGTTTTCTTACCTCTCTTTTACTATCTGTGGTGAAACATAGTCTTCCCGGGGCCTGTTGTGCTTCTACACAGTTTGTTGCATTTGCCAAGAATGCACAGTCCTAACCACTCATTAACTGGGCCATTTCTCAGAGTTGTGCTTGTAGTGAGCAATCCTGAAGGATGAGGTAGTTTCCTGCTGAAAAACGAGCAGGCTTGTTCGCAATAAAAGTTCATCCTTTTCTCCACCTGCTCCCCAGCTTCCCGCACTTTTCGGGCTTCCACAGCGAATTTCTTTTTCCCCATGGTCCTTCTCCTGGGTCTGGCCGTCTCCGCTGTTACCATGCTTTACAGCATCTTCCTGATCCCACCTTCTAAGCTGTGTGGTCCATTCCAAGGGCATTCGTCCATCTGGGCCCAGATCCCTGAGTCTATTTCCAGCTTCCCTCAGACCGTACAGAACTTTCTATTTTTCCTGGGGACCCAAGCTTTTGCTGTGCCTCTTCTGTTAATCTCCAGCATCCTGATGGCATATACCGTGGCCTTGGCTAACTCCTATGGACGTCTCATCTCTGAGCTCAAACGCCAGACAGAGACGGAGGCGCGGAATAAGGTCTTCCTGGCGCAGCGCACTGTGGCCCTGAGCTCGGCCAACGGGGCTCCTTGACCTCCCTTGGTCAGGACGATGTCCCACTTTCAGTCCGGACCTACCCCCGGACCCTTTGTACCTCCAGCACGTCATCTCTAAAAGGGAAGAACTTGAGAAGACCCCAAGCCCTTACAGCCCTGGGATTCAGAGAGTCCCAGGGCCCTGAAGTCCCCCAACCCTGCCAAGTCCCTTACTCTCCAGTTAACCTCGTGTATCAATAAACTCAGCTGAGGCTACAAAAAAAAAAAAAAGAGTATATTCCCCAAACTCAGGGATTCTTAGTTGCAGTGCAAACCTACTATGTGTGTAGCATCACCATAGGCCACCCAGTACTGCCTCCATGAGATCTAGGAAGAGGAAATCTACAGAAATATGCTAATGATATGCTACTCGGTATACCACAAGTAAAAAAAAAAGTTGTTTCTGACCCACAAGTCTTATGTCTTCTGCCAATATCCATGAAACAGTAAACTATTAGATTAGAGAGTTATCAAATCCCAAACTTTATAATTACCCAGTTGAGGAGTTTTTATTGTTATTTTAACACTCTCACCTATTCTTTATGCAACAAACAACCATCAATAAGCTTATTCTTTTTCCTATTTCACTCTCCCTTTTCCTTTTCTTCCTTTTATTACAGCTATTCTGTCACAACATATAGTAGTCTTTCCTTCACATCTCTACCTTTTAGTCTTACTAATACACTTACGTATTTTAAAGATCATCATTGTTAAAAAAAAAAAAAAGATCATCATTGTTTCTTTTGGAGGTTTTTCTGGTTATTTCTCAGTTGAATAAAATATCCTCTAGCAGATTCCTTAAAAACAGCTCATGGGTGCATAATTCCCTAAGTTCTTTTATGCTGAGTACCGTTTTTCCATAACCTTGATAAGGACAATGTGGCTGACCTAAAATCCTTAGTTCATACTTTCTCTCTTTTTTAAAGATTTTATTTATTTATTTGAGAGAGAGAGAGAGAGTGAGAGAGAGAGAGAGAGCACAAGAGGGGGTAGGGTCAGAGGGAGAAGCAGACTCCCTGCTAAGTAGGGAGCCCAATGAGGGACTTGATCCCGGGACTCCGGGATCATGACCCGAGCTGAAGGCAGTCGCTTAACCAACTGAGCCACCCAGGCACACACTTTCTCTCTCTTTTTTAAAGGCTGCTCTACTTGAGCCTTGTTTTGGTTGTCCCAGTGGGTTTTTAATATTTCTTTTTTAAAAAAAGAACCATTTATTTTAGAGAGAGAAAGAGAGAACATGTCAGAGTGGGGGAAGGGGTAGAGGGAGAAAATCTTAAGCAGATTCCCTTCTGAGCACGGAGCCCTACGCGGGGCTCAGTCTCACGCCCCATGAGCTCATTACCTGAGCTGAATTCACAAGTCAGATGCTTAACCAAACTGAGTCACCCAGGCACCCCCCAGTGGATTTTTATATGTCTGAATCAGTGCAATTCGTTTGCCTTTGGAAGTTATGTCGTGTTTCTGCCTGTAGACATAAAGGATTTTTATCTTTGAAATCAAATAATTTTATTAGGAAATGTCTTAGAAATGATCATCCTGGGCTCACTTCCCCAGTACCCAGTAGACCCTTTAGTAAGTGTGTGTAGATTTGAATCTTTTTTCAATTTCTAAACAATTTTCATTAAATATTGCTTTAAACATAGTTGCTTTCCATGGATTTTCCTCTCCTGAGACACTGAATTATGAATGTTATCCTTTCATTGCCTATCTTCAATTTTTCTCTGCCATTTGTTTTATTCCAGCTTTGAGATAGAATTCACATATAAGATTGTGTAAATTCAAGGTATACAATGTGTTGTTTTGATACATTTATATATTGCAAAATGAGGATCACCACTGCCTTAGCTAACACCTCCATCACATCACATATTTACCATTTCATTTCTGTGGTAAGAAACTTGAAAATCTGCTCTCTTAGTAACTTTCAAGCACATAGTATCTCTGACACTTTCTACTTTATTCTTTTTGTCATTTTCATTTACTTGCTTTTCCCCTTTCTTCAATTCTTATTTCCTTTAATTAAAGTGTAGTTGACACACAGTTATATTAGTTTCAGGTATACAACATAGTCATTTGACAAGTTTACATATTATGCTATGCTCAAATGCAGCTACCATCTGTTAACATATATTACAGTATCACTGACTATATTCCTTATGCTGTACCTTTCATTCCTGTAATTTATTCATTCCATAACCAGAAGCCTTTATCTCCCGCTCCCATTCACCCATTTTTGCCCAACCTCCACTCCCTTCCCCTCTGACCATCACTTTGTTCTATTTATAGGTCTGATTCTGCTTTTTGTTCATTCTTTTTTTCAGATTCCACATGAGTGAAATCAATATGGTATTTGTCTTTTCCAGTCTTATTTCTTTAGCATAATACCCTCAAGATCTCATCCTTTTTTATGGCTGATTAATATTCCACTGAATATATACTGTATCTTCCTTATCCATTTATCTATCAATGAACACTTAGGTTGCTTCCAAATCTTGGTTATTGTAAATAGTGCTGCAATAAACATAGGAGGACATGTATCTTTTCATATTAGTGTTTTTGTTTTCTTTGGGTAAATACCCAGTTGTGGAGTTACTGTATCATATGGTATTTCTTTTTTTAAATTTTTTGAGGAACCTCCATGCTGTTCTTCACAATGGTTATAGCAATTTACATTCCCACCAACAGTGTATGAGGATTCCTTTTTCTCCACATCCTCACTAACCCTCCCTTATTTCTTGTCTTTTGATTTTAGCCATTTTGATAGGTGTTAAGGTGCTATCTCATTGTACTTTTGATTTGTTCGAGGCACCTTATTAAACTTTCATTTGACTGTATTCTCCCTGGGACATCCTATAATTTATTTATTTTATATATATATTATCAGTATTTTTTTTTCCTATGCCTTCCATTTCTTTACCGAGTTTGTACTCTTTATTCCACTTTTCTTCCCGTTTTCATTTCTTGGTTTTTGAATTTCTGATTTTACATTTTTAAAAAATGTCCTCAAATGCTTGATTGAATATGTTTGTATCTAAGTATGGTCAGTTTTCATCTGACTTTTTTTTTTTTTCTGGGGTGGAGATGAATTTTCCTCAGTTGGTATACAACGAAGCTCTTCTTTTTTGGTAACAACTATATATACTTTTAGTAATCCTCCCTTTTTATCTTTTTTGCAGTATTGGGATATTTTACAAGATTCCTAGTTTAAAAGGAAATTAACAAATACTCTGAGGGCCAGGTATTTAGGATATTTTTTCTTTTTGTCTTGCTGGGGGTGGAGGGAGCATTATAAGACTGATTTTGTGTTCACCTTGTCTTGCAGGAACCTAAAACTTCCCAACGTGCTTTTCTTCAACACTTAAATACCAAAGGGAGTTTGTCTTCTTTTTACCTTTTGTCTTAACCCTGAAGATACACATTTAGAAGATGACTTTTGTAAATCATTCCATTTTAAATGACCTTCCTATAGTTTGTGTTCTGCTCTATCATACATACACACCCACAATTTTGAAGTTAGTGTGGAGTGGCAGAGCAGGTTAACCCTAGGTCCACTTGGTAGCTTCCATCTTGTGTGTTTTCTGCAAATCTGCTTGGTTGGATTTTGCTCACTACAAAGCCTTGCTGAGGGTTGGGAAAAAACAAGAGTGTGAGAGATAATATACTGAGAATTGGTGGGTTTTCTCCCCTTAGAATTATTTTCAAAATTTGGTTTTCTCTGACTTCAACTTATGCCATGAACATAGTTTATGTATAGATTTCTTTTACTCTTCTTGTAGCTCTGTACTGCTTTTGGAGGAAATGTTGGGAGACAGGTAGTTAAGTGGTTACCACTGTCTTCAGCTACCCAGAGGAGTTGAGATCTTAAAGTTAAAGTAAGGAACTAACAAATTCTATAAGGCAGGGTTTGTTGGTGGCTCAGTCATTTAAGTGTCTGACTTGTGATTTCAGCTCAGGTAATGATCTCAGGGTCCTGAGATTGAGCCCTGTATCTGGCTCTGCGTTCAGTGGGGAGTCTGCTTGACATTCTCCCTCTCCCTCTATTCCTCCTCCCATCAGTGCTTATTCGCAAGCACACTCTCTCTCTAAAACAAATAAATCTTTAAAAAAAAAAAAAATTCTATAAAGCAATAAAGGTTAAAAGTTCAGTAATATCATCATGGGGCAGGTCTTTCTAATAATAAGTATGAACACTAGCCAGAAACTTTTAAGAGGAAAACTCTATAGATAAAAAAAAAACTTTATGCAAAACTTACTTTAGCTGAAGTGAAAAAATGATTTATTTACAGTCTCCTATAAGCAAAAGGGCTTATTTATTAACAAAAAGCTCTTAAGAAAAAAAAATAATCCACTGTACCTGGAGAGTCTGACTTTTGATTTGGCCTGTCATGATCTCAGGATACTGGGAGAGAGCCCTGCGTTGGGCTCAGCACTCAGCAGGTAGTCTGCTTAGGGTTCTCTCTCTCTCTCTTTCCCTCCCGTTCTGCCCCTCCCCCACTGTGCTAAAATAAATCGTTACGAAAAAAAATCCAACTAGAAAAATGGACAAGACATATGAATATTTAGAAAAACAAATCCCCTATAGGGCATATGAAGATATGCACAAAACAAGGAAATTTCCTTTTAACATGTCAGAGTAAGATGACTAACATATCAGGTGATCAGAAAGATGCTCAGTAACAGGCATTCCCTGTTCACTAGTGGCGTTATTAAAATTTGTACACATAAATACATAGTAAAACCATTTGAAAGAACTTCATGAACTCAGATTAAGTTCTTTCATGAATTCTAAATAATTTCAGCTAAAAAATACTGAGGTACCAAAGATTTATACTCATACAAAATATCAACACATTTTTATATGTCAAAAGATGTAGTATCAGGGTGCTTGGCTGGCTCAGTCAGTACAGCATGCGACCACTGATCTCAGGGTTATGCGTTCAAGCCCCACGTTGGACATGCGGCCTATTAAAAAAAAAAAAAAAAGATGTAATAATGTTGAAAAGCTAAAAAACAGAAAAAAAATCACATGGCATTTTGATAATAAAATCCTTCAGAAATCTCAAAAATAAAAATCTTAAAGCTATTGCAAATAATTTTCTCCTATAACTTATAAAGCATTTTTTTTTTTACTATGCTGCTCACCAAGGAAATGCGCTTTAGAATTCAAAAATTACCAGCCAACAGTCAATCAATAAATACTTGATGTGCAACTCTTCATCTCAAAGTCATGAGTTCAAGCCCCACATTGGACACAGACCTCACTTAAGGGGAAAAAAAAATAAATAAATAAAAAACTTGATGTGATTTTTTGGTGATTTTTAAAGCTTTTATATACACATAAGCAAATTTTTTCTGAAACATCGGAGCATAAATTGACCCTAAAATGTGTCAACATGTATTTCCTAATAACAAAGACTTTGTTTCATATAACCTCAGTAGAGTTCTTAAAACCAGGGAATTCAGTATTATCTAATCCACACGTCCATATTCAAATTACATCAACTATGCCCAAAGCATCATTTATAGCCACAATGCCCTTCCAATTCCAGGATTTAATACAAGATCAAGTACTGTGTTTAGTTATGTCTCTCTTTTTGCCTTTAATCTGGAACAATTCTTGGTCTTTTTCTGTGTTTTTTGATACTGGAATATTTAGAGTACAGGCTAGTCAACTGGTAAAATGTTTTCAATTTGTTTTGTCTGGTATTTTCTAATGACTAGATTCAGGTATGCATTTCTCACAGGAAATTATCACAAAGGTGATATTTTGTCCTCATTCTATTAGAAGCAGTTTATCAGTTTGTGCCCATATTGATGGTGGTAGCAACGATTTTCATTATAGTGGTATCCTCCATATTATCCCCAATAAAAATTTGTGAATTTTTCTCTTCATAAATGATTTGTGGGGAGATATGTTGAGATTATGTAAGTATTGTTTTCTCAAACAGTGGCCCACAAGTTTTAGCCTTCATTAATGATTTTCTAAGATCATTTCTTCTGTATTTATTAGTTTGCATTCAATTATCCGGAAGAATTTTTCCTTCTTCCTCATTCATTCATTCATATGATTCATATTATAAATTCTTATATATAAGGGTACCATTAATTACTATGAATTTTTATGTGGATTCTCAAATTGTCCCAGATTTAGCCAACAAGAGTCCCTTTAATCTGGTTCTTCTGTCCTTCTGCCAGGTTCCTAATGTTTCTCTGAGTATTTCCTTACTTTTAGGGTGGGTGACTGAAACATTTTTTACTTTGATATAGAGTTAAATTATAATGAATTATCATATACTTAACAAGTTCTATATACTTAAAACGAGTTATATATACTTAAAATATGTGTATTTGTGCATGTTAATCCTCTAGCTAGCAGCACTTTCTACAGTGTTACAGGCAAGGAATTCTTCAACTACTCTGGATAAGTAAATACACTGATGATAATGGAAATCACGTTTTCTGTTAGAGAAAGATAGAAGCGAAGAAGAAAGGCCAGAATAAATTCTGGGTTTTAAACACAGATACAGAAAAATAAATACAGACATGTATATGTAAGTGTGTGAGTACACATACACTCACATATGTATTTTCTAGCTCTGTTCACTGAGAGACCCTCTAAGCAAAAAGGCACCTAGAGCAATGAAAACAACGGGCAGCCTTATCTTGGCTTTAAATACTGTTCCCCACTAAAAGCAAGCAGGTCTCCTTAGAGACTGGTCTGGGCAGAAAAACAGCTTTCCCTTTAACTTAAGGGGAAAATTAATAATTTATGAGTGATTAATTTCTACTTAAATAATAACTTTACACTGAACACTTAAAAATGGTTAAGATAGTAAATTTTATGTCGTGTATTTTAGCAAAATAAAATTAAACAACAAAAAAACAATGTATATGAGAATACTGCAGTAAAAAGCACTCTTCTTTCCTGATAAAGTACAAAAAATACAAAATACATCAACTGACAAATAAATGAGAAAACTAGTACTGCCTGAGGCAGTCTTCTTGCAATGCCCCTCAATACATTTATTTAGAAGAGAGAGTTCTGAGGACTTATTTGGATATGCTATGTATAGCAACACTTAAAAAAAAAAAAAACATAATACACAGTCCAAGCCTTGAACAAACTTCAATTTAATTAACATTCACTGAATACTTACTATGCAGGCAGCACTCTGCAATACAATGGAAGACACAAAGTGAGTAAGACACAATTTTTGCCTTTTAGGAGCAAAAAATTCTTCTGTTTACATGAAATTTAGGACAGAGTGCATGATAATGTAGATGATCCAGTTTGGAGAAGAGAAAACAAACTATGTGAAGATGTGAAGCTTTGGGCCCTGACATTAAAATGCATAGTTAAGAATGTAACCTCACTTCTTAATAATTTAAAATCAAATCAGATGACATGATCATCTACATGAGACGCTAGCAGGACAATGAGTCCATTCAATATAAGCAATTTTTCTAGTAAGGTCATCTCAGAACAAGGTAAAACAAAGTTGTGTCCTTGGTTCTTTTAATGCTAAAAAACACAGAATAAAGTGAGGTTTTCTAATGTTACATCAACTACCTAGATTTCTTAGTAACAAGAATTATTCCTTAATTATACTCTTAAAGTAAAAATATTAAGATCTAAACCATTTTGTACTTGGATATAACTATGTGTCTCTTTTTCTCTCTTTCTCTCAAGTTCAGCACACAGAATATGGATGTTCAAAGATTACTAACTAAATTGAATAGGAAAAGAGAAAACTTGAAAAGTCAGGGTGCCTCTAATAAGGCCTTCATTAAAAATTTCTGGTATAAGTAGTAAAAGAAATCACCAAATTTGGAACATGATATACAGAATTGTATCACTCTTTAAATCCTCTCAAGGATCAGAAAAAATTTAAAGTAGATAAAAACTTACCAAATTTGGTGTATAGGTCTGATGTTACTCAATATTTTAAAAGTCACAGTAATGGAACCTCCTTGAGTGTTTAAAATCCTACTACATTTAAAGTTGAAACTGAAGCATATCAAAAAAACAATTCAGCATTCTTTAAAGTTCTTACCACAATCATTTCTGAAGGCTCTAATACAAGACAATCACATCCTCTTTTTCCTCCAAACTGCTTACCAAAACTATAAAAACAAAAGAACAATTTCTTTAGCAAAAATTATAGATAAAATATATCAATATAGGAAAAAATAAAAAACCCCCCCAAAACCCTAAATGTTAACCAAGAAATGACAATCCTATCACTTACACAAGATTTTCTTAAAAACAAACCAAAATATCTTTCTTCATATTTACCCTGATATAACTGATCTCAACACATTTTGTGTGAAAAATCTTTTAAAATATCTGCCTTTAACTCTTCTCTAAAACTTTTATAGTTTAGGATACTTGCCTAGTCTCAAATCTTGAATTTGGTATAATGTTGAATTAACATAAAAACACCTAAGAAAGAATGAAGCCCTAACTATGGAATATTTTCTGAAAATAAATTATAATAATTTGGGAGCAGTAATCAACAAAAGATAAAAAGAACTTTAAAAATATATCCACATTTAAATATATAAATAAATATACTATGATACACATGTGATTTATTTTTCAGAAATACTGCTACCTCTTTCAAAAAACTGTAACTGGGTTAGTTCTAAAAGAAAATATATTTCTGTATTCTTCACCTGGGAGAAAGACTTCTCAGCAATCAAAAAAGGAAGCATTCATATAGGAAAAACATAACATTTTCATTTTAAAAGAGAAACTGAATGTTTTAAAAGGATGGAGGGATAGGATAAAATACTTGCTAATAAAATACTTGCTAATTATTTAAGACACAAAATGTTAACCTATCTGATATGGAGACCACACTTAAATTGTAAAAAGCAATCTAAAATATTACATCAATGAAAATTAAGTACCATGGCCAATTATAAAATATCTAAAATATAACTACAAACTAACCAAATTAAAAAGAAACTCCACTAATCAAGCAAAATAAACTACTAAAAAGTGAACATAATGAGGAAATATAGGTCATTTATAAAACACTATATAATTTTATAGACTAGAAAGAGTGACTGAATGAAGAGACCTATCATGTACTTTTATGAAAAGGTTCAATTTTCTAAAAACGTCAATTATTCACAAAGTATGTTATACACAAATATTAGTTCATAACAAAATCCTAAGGTGCCTCCTTAGGGCAGTAGACAGCATCTCAGTCTTGTAACGAAATCTTAATGTCTAAATGTAATAAATCACTCCTGAACATAAAAAAAATCACTTTTGTTTTTTCTTAAGCACTATAATTATTTTTCCCCCCAAACTCTAATAGCATCTAATGCATAAAAAATTAGAAGTAAATTTGTGGAAGTTTCTTTCATTGAAGATAGAGTAACAGGGACCAGATTTATTCTCCTACCTAAAAAAATGAGAAAAATCATACAAAATATATAAAACAACA